GCATCTGCAGTTCCTACTATCTCTCACACAGAATGTATGGCTGGCTTTTGAGTTATATGTGGAACATTCATTGTTTGAGTCCTACTTTCTCCCTCATCTTTCTCTAGAACATTTATAGCTGTATCTATTTCCTCCCCTCCTTCTTCTTCCCCCTCCCCATATCCTTCTCCCCATCCCTGTCCCCCACCATCTCCAACTTCTCCTCCCTTCCCCATCCCCATCTCCAACTCCAACACCTCCTTCCCTCCCTATCTCCATCTTCTCCCCATCTTCATCTCTTCCTCCCCTCCCCGTCTCCTCTCCCTCCTCCATCATCACTTTGCCCCATCATCTTCCCTCTCCCCGCCCCATCCTCTCTGACCCAGCGTTCTCCTCCTCCCCCCGCCCCTCCCCTCCCCTCCCCTCCCCTCCCGTGCGAGGGATTGCTGTCCTGTGAGTCTGTCATGCGCAGTGGTGTTGCTGCCGCGAGCCGTGGTGTCGGTAGGCGCTGCTAACGTGTCACTGACTGAGCTCCACTCCCTCCCTCCCTCTTACACAGTCATGGAAGACGAGGAGAGACAGAAGAAATTGGAGGCCGGCAAAGCCAAGGTAAGAGTCCCTCACTTGCTAGGCGGCAGGGAATACTAGAGACGGGATAAGGGAGGGACGGAGACCGGCGCTGGTCGGCTGTTTTCTGTCTGGAAGCTACCAGTTCATGGCCCCGTCTCCAGGTGCAGAGGGATGAGCTTTAATATCTCTCTGTGCTTTCTAATTGGATCCGCAGGCTTTAGCCAACTGCAGAGGATTGTAGGCCTTTGGTAATCGTGCTTTTTATTGTTTACATGAGGTGACAGAAGGGCCTAGAGCAGGATCCAGGGCTTTGGTGTGTGTTGAATTAAACGAGTTAATCAGAATCGATACAAAGCTATTTGCAAGAGATTGTACAGAATAAATTAAACGGAAATTAAGTGTATTAATGAAAGTTGCTTAAAGATTTTGCTTTAAGCGAAAACGGTTTGTTTCTGTTATCCGTGTTGGTTTGGATGTAGCAGCTATTCGCAATGACAGCCCAATACATTACATACTTTCTAACATCTTGAAGTACATTTAAGATAATACATCTTATGAAGGCTGGAGCAAAAGTTACTTGAATGTAACAAGGTTGCAGAAGTTTAACAACAACTTCTAAAGTGTGTAATTGTTACATTTTTTCAGATTTATAATTTAGTAGTGTTTAGTAATCCCATCAGCAGGATTGGTTCTTTAATGAAGGTATGCTGGAGTATTTGAACTGTTGCCAAATTGATTATTAGCATCTATTTTGCCCAAGAAATTACAAGATTGTGTATGTCCCGTGTAAGTAGTGACAGCTTTATTTCTGTGTGTGCTAAAATTCGATAGGCATAATCTCCTGTTTTTATTGATGTGCTGAAAATGTTTTGCATCACAGGGAAACTTAGATTTTCATCTGGTTGCAGGATGATTAAATGTGATAATTTCAGTAGCGTCTTTGTCTAAGCATCTTATTGCATTCTCACATAATTCAATGCACTTTGACGAAGTGTATTTGTTTTCAGTGATACTCAATTGTAAGCTTGCTGAGTGACAAATGAGCAGGTGGGAAAGACAACCTTGAAGTTTGGCATAGCTGCAGTAGAAGTTGGGGAAAACAGAATATAAAATGAATTAAATTAATCCATATTAATATAGCATGTGGATAAAGTATGAAAACACAGTTACCTTATTTGTTTCTGTGATATGGCTGTCATTATCAAGTTGTAATCAAGTGTAGCTGCTGTTGAAAAGGTTGTAATGGGCCTTATTAGACTAGTGCGGTCTGTGTGATGAAAGTGGTCCCACAAATTTCAGTGTTTATGATTGAGTGAAAGTAATTGATACAGCTAATGCTAATGTGAGAAACTTCTGCAATGATATCCTGGGGCTGATCAGAATCAGCAGTTGCCAAATGTTGTGTTGTGAAGTAATGTTTTACTCATTAAGCTGCTGCTTAGTAAAAGGATGAAGCAGATCTTTAAAGCCTTAGTTTGTAGCAAAGTAGAGTTCTTTTCCTCAGCCAGTGGGATATTTATGAAAGTTATGATAGTTATAAAAATGAGTATATTTCATGACATGGAGGACAACTTTGAGTTTTGTTTACCAGAGTGCACACAAGCATTTTGAAGTCTGCATTTCCATGTTTCCACATTGATTTTAGCTTGTTGCATCCTCTTGATGAAGTATTAAAGCTCAACACACCACCTGTAAAATGGATAGGTAAACTGTACAAAATTGGACAATGTCTAGAAAAAATCCTAATTACGAAATCTTATTCTATATGGTCAGTATCTTTGGAAAGAGAAGCTGAACGCTGAATCAGAGTTAACGTTTCAAGTCTGACATAATTCTTTTGAACTGATTTGAGAAAAATGATCAGAATCAGCAGTTCCCAAATGTTGTTATGTAATGGTTTTGCACATTAATTAAGCTTTTTACTCAAAGAATACATACTCTAGAAGAGTCACATCAGACTTGACGTGTTAACTCTTTTTCTGTCTCTGCTGATGCTGCCAGACCTGCTGAGTTACTCCAAGTTTTTCTGTTTTTATTTCTGATTTCCAGAATCTGTAGAATTTTGCTTTTATATCTTTATCTTACGTTTTCTACTTGCTCCAAGTTTTGAAATATATATTTATATTACATAGAAAATATATTCCCAGATGTTCCTCTCAGCATTATCCTGGGTTGGAAGTCATTCTGAATCTATCATAATACTATTATTGTTGCTTCAGTTTTGTTCTTCTTTTCACATTGGAAAGGTTTTGAAAAAGGTGTGTAAAGTTTGTTATAGGAATGAAGTCTTGCTATAGTCCAAACTTAGTTGATTGAATCACTTGGTTCGTACTGATTTAGATGATGGGAATGTAGGAACAGGAATAGGGCCATTATGCCTTGCATTCCTGTTCTACTATTCAGTGAGATCATGGCTAATCTGTACCTTAACTTCACTGCACATGCTTTGACTCAGTCTCCTTTTCTATTAATGTCCAGCATGTATTTACCTCTGATTTAACATATTTAATTGAGTTAGCATCTACTCAATTAATTGGAATTCCAAACTGTTTCCAAGACCCATGATGTCAGACGGAAATTAATTAGACATTTGAAGGAAATTGCAGGGTTATGGGGATAAAACAGTACCTGGAACTGACTGGATTATTCTTTGCTTAATGTCACCTACCAGTAGGGACATGTTTCTCTCCATTAACCATATTAGTTCCTTTCAACATCTTAAAATTCCTTGGTCAAATCACCCCTTAACATTGTATGTTCGAAGCATTGTGCAGAAAGATGATGCAAGCAACAAAATCATTACTATTGGAAATGAAATAGAACATAATCTGTAATACAGAATTGTTTGCAACATCTTTTCCAAACCGGAACTATATTATACAATGTGTATTCTAGGCATGAGGGAATATGTATAGGATTAATTGTCATTATTTACTATAATGTTTTAATTTCTGTTTATGTGAAGAAAAATGTAAGATCTTGTATCTCTAAAGATTTTAATAATCTGAAAAGTCATGATCAAATTTTCTATTTTCAGCTTGCCCAATTTCGACAACGGAAAGCCCAGGTCGACCTTCATAATCCGGGAAAAAAACAAAAGAGAAAGAAAAAAGTAGTAAACAAACCGGAGGAGCAAGTGGAATACGTCACAACTAAACATCAGCAACAGGATGCTAAAACTAGGGCAGAGAGTGGTCCACCAGGAGATGGAGAGTTCATAATTAATAGGATTTTACACAGTGGAGATGTAATCAAACAGGACCAGACTTATATGTTTGAGGTGAGAATTATTTGTGCTTTGTTTTTCTTCAATTTAATAAAATGTGACAAATTCATTATAGTGTGTTGATATACCATGTAGGATTTGTGTGGTGTCATTTTTTATAGTTTTACAGTAAGAGTACAAAGCCCTAATATTTTCCCAGTTCTACTAAGTTCACACATTATGTGCTCTGGGTAGATGGTGTCTCATTAAGTACCAAATTCATATGTTTCTGATTGGAAGAGTAGAATTTTGTTATAACAAGGTGTATAGCTGGATGAACACAGCAGGCCAAGCAGCATCAGAGGAGCAGGAAAGCTGATGTTTCGGGCCTAGACCCTTCTTGGTATTCAGAAAAAGTGACCTAACCCAAAACATCCTTGTAAAGATGAGATATGATCACAATACACCAGTTCAACATATTAGCCTAGATTTTATGTGTCTATTTTTATTTCAAAAATCTACTTTATTCATAAAAATGTTTGTGTACATGTATAGTCATTAAAGCAGTTCGGTTCTATACAAATGCATATGAAGAAACAAAACCCTATCCAGCAAATAAACCCAAGGCATTTGTTACTTGCCCATATTTACATGCATTTGAGGCACTGGGGCAAGACCAGTAACAGAACAAACTTCTACTTAACTTTGGCAGAAAGACCTTGGACAGAGGTTTTCCCCCATTGCACCTTGGTGGCAGCTGCCCTGATCTTTTGTGCGTCTTTCCGCATGTTGTCTTGGACCTTGGAATGTGCTAGTCTGCAACACTTGGTTGAGGTCGATTCCTTGCCCTGGAAGACCAACAAGATTCAGGCAGACCAAAGAGTGTCTTTCACCAAGTTGATGGTCCTCCAGGCACAATTGATGTTTGTCTCGGTGTGCGTCCTAGGGAACAGCCCATAGAGCATAGAGTCCTGAATCACAGTTGTTTGGGACCAACCTCAACGGAAACCACAGCATTTTTCTCCACACTTGCTTTGCAAAAACATACCCCAGAGGTGGTGTGTGATAGTCTCTACCACATGTGCACACGCATGCATACTCCCTCCCTCCCACTCTCCTACCGGGCATACGTGACGGATTGTGCAGGTACTGTCCTCACCAGTATCTAAGTGATGTCTTGATGCTTCTTGGAAAGTTCTGGTGATGAGGCATTTTGCCAAATGACTTGACAGTCCGCTTAAGGAGCAACCCAACAGGATCCACCTTCTCCTTTTCCCACAGGAGACCAACAGTGCAATCTGCTGACCACTTCCGGATGGACTTGTGGTCAAAGTGTTTTTCTGTGCACCTTTCTCCATGAAGGACAGGTGATAAGGAACGGACCAGCTGCTTGGAACGTTCTGCTGAGGCCAGACCCATCCTTCACAACACTGGGACAGATAGAACCTGAGTTCGTAGTGACAGTTGGTGTTTGCATGTCAAGGGTCTATGCACAGCTTCATAGAGCCAGGCAAGAAGGTGGCCATCAGGATGAGGGCAGCATTGGGTATGTCCTTCCCCCGCCTATCTAGAGTTGTGTGGTGTCCCTGGAGACACGGCCCATCTTAGACCTCCAAATGAAGTGGAAAATGGCTTGGGTGACTGAGTTCCTGTCCTCCATCATGGAAGTCTTAGGTGACAGCACCCAGGAGAGGCTGGGCCAGTTGTTATCTCTGGGTGAGCTGAGCAAAGCCCTCGAGTCCTTAGAAAAGAATAAAACTCCTGGAAGTGACGGCTTACTGGCCGAATTGTATTCAGCTCTGTGGTACTTGAATGGCCAGGAACTGCTGGAAGTGTACGATAATATACTTCTGGCAAGTAGCAAATGCGAATGCATGAGGAAACGTATCATCACCCTTGTCTACGAGTGAAAGAGGGAGAGGGAGGAAGTTAGAAATTGGCAACATATTTGACTGCTGTTTGCAGACAACAAAATCACATTTAAGGTCATCGCTAACGAGGTCAGGTTTGCTCTGGTATCAGTGATTCATATTGACCAAACCTGTATTTACTGAGCAGGATGATCTCTGAGAGCCCTCTGCTCCTCAGGGGTACAATTGCCACGCTCAGGACATGGGTCTGGACGCCTGCCTAATCGGCCTCGATTAGGAGAAGGTCTTTAACAGGATATTGCACACCGACATGTGGGATGTCCTCTCCAAAATAGACTTTGGGGAAAGAATCCGCAATTGGATCCAACTGCCCTACATCAACGTTGTTAGTGCAGTCTCAATCAATGGTTGGAAATCAGAAAGCTTCCCAATCAGGTCTGGAGTCAGGCAGGGTTGCACACACTCTCCTGCCTCGTTTATGTGTTGTGCAGAGCTCTTTGCTGAGACTGTCAGGAAAAGTGTGAGCCTGAGAGGGGTGACTGTGGTTCAGAGGGGCTGAATGTGTGCAAGATCTGGGGAAGAGAGAATTGCCAAGGTATGGCAGTAACTGGGCTTTTGGGAGCTCTGTTCTCTCTTCGTTGTAGGTAAAATCCTGGTCACCAGATGTGAAGCACTCTGTTGTTGTACATGACGTAGGTCTGGTCCATTCTCAGATTTTGTCTATCTTGTACCTGAAGATTTTTAAACTACTGTCTAAATAGAAGCACAATGTATTGGTTATAGCTGCACTGCTGAGATTACAAACCACATTGACATAAGTGTGAAAACAAATGTATAATTATTTCTGTAGTAAATAGTTTTTCTGTTAAACATTATCTAGAGAGCTAATTGCTGAATATTTGATAGTTTTTGAATTCTTTGCAGAGGAGAAGTTAATGTGTGAAATGAAAAATATTTAAATTCTTTTGTTCTCATAAAGCATTGGCTTTTATTCAATGTGAGGGATGAATTCAGTAACATGACTTACTTCATTATACCTGTTTAATGTTAATTTACAAGATCACTTGACCATGTAGTGATAGTAGCAATCATGTATTCTTGTGCATAACATTAGTATTTTTGAAAACGTTCATTCACGAAACAAGTTGTGTTTGTCCTAAATTGCCAAAAACAAGAACAAATGAATAAAATATTCCCATGAGTGGGAATTGTCCAGTTGAGAATGGGGTGTGGTGGCTTTGGATTTGAAAGAATAGCTAAGTACCAGAGATGAGGGAATATGTTACAATGTCATCCTGCGTGGAGACCAGGATGACAAGCTGAGTGGTCAGCAGTTCAGGAATGTGGAAAAAGGAGAACAAGGTTCATCATGTGGAAGAGATGAGGGTTAGGTTTAGACTACTTGAGAAAACATGAGAAAAACTAGAAATGTATGTGCAGTTTGGGGCTATCATAGACTCTATCATTGAATCCCTACAGTATGGAAGCAGGCCATTTGGCCCAATGAGTCCACACTGACTCTCTGAAGAGCATCCTACCCAGACCCACCCTATACCCATAACTCCTTGGTTACCATGGCTAATCCACCCAGACCAACCCTATCCCCATAACCCCACAGTTGCCATGGCCAATCTACCTAACCTGAACATCTTTGGTTTGTGGGAGGAAACCAGAGCACCTGGAAAAAACCCATGCAGACATGGGAGAATGTGCAAATTCCACACACAGTTGCCTGAGGGTGGAATTGAATTCAGGTCCCTGGCACTGTGAGACAGTACAGTGGTAACCACTGAGCCCCCATGAGGCTAGGGCAGGTGAAGGTTGAAGGGAGGTTTGGCTGGGAAGATGAGGTGAATGAAACTATATAGCAGAAGGTTGGGTAGTCTCTGTGTTGCTGTGACCACATTTTAGCTATTTCTGAGGAAATTCAAAGATGAATATAAGGTTGCATTGTTTGGTGTGAATTTGGAACCGAAGCACCTTTAGTTTAAGCATTACAGGTGCATTTTGTCCAAAGTAACGTTTCTGCAGTTGAGGCACACACTTTTGGGCTAAGTCACATCAGGTGTCATGTTGCTGCATGTATGCAAAGCAGTTAGGTAATGATGTCTTTTGTCCAGCTGCTGTGTGAATATATGCAGAGAATCACACAAGTCAGTGCTCTGTAACCTGGTAACAGTCTTAATGCCATCATTCTGTGACCATTTCCTCTTTCTTAGCTGTACTTTAGCTACAATGGCGAACAAAGGGTAGATAGTGGATTTTTAGGGCTGTTTCCTTACCATGTGGTCAGTGAGTTAATTGCATAATCCATGCACATGTGCACAGCCAAGCTGTCATGTAAAATGTATGAATTTTCTTTAGTAAGGACATCCTGAGATAATGTCAGGAAAGTAGAGTTGAAATTACAATCAGATCAACCATAATCTAATTGAATGGCAGAGTGGGCTGAAAGGACCTAATAACCTATTCCTCCTAATTCATATGTTCTCAGTGAAATCTGCACCTTCCTCTAACTTCTGTGCATTTGCCTGTCCTAGTGCTGTAGGACCATGCTTCCCCTGAAGTTGCAGCATGGCTGGTGTAAGGCTGCTGCCATTCAGTTTAAGAGACTACAGACAGCCTGCTTGCAAATTCTAACATCTTGGCATGAGCAGCAGCAGTCTGAGCCATTTGCCTGAGAGACAGCAACAAACTGCACTGTCAGAATGGGAGGAGAGGTTTAAATGAATGTGCCTTTCTGAGATAGGGCAATAGATTTGTGCTCCATGAAAGCATTGCTACATCAGGATTCTGAGTAATTCTTTGAGGAGTGGGCATCTTGCAAGCCCCTTTGAACATTGTAATATGCTGATTTTTTTTATTCACCCAATGTATGTGTTTTTTTTGCTGGCTAGGCCTGCATTTATTATCCATCTCGATTTTTCCTTGATGAGGTGATGGTGACTTGCCATTTGGAACCCTGCCATTGTGGGGATATATTTGTGCCCTCAGTGCTTTTAGGAAGGGAGTTTCAGGATTTTGACCCAGTAATAGCGAAGGAACAGCATGTTGTTCTAAGTCAGATTAGAGGGAAACATGCAGGTGGTAGTGTTCCCATGCATATGCTGCCCTTTCAGTCAAAGGTCAAAAGTTTGCAAATTGCTATCTGAGGAGCCTTCATGAGTTGCTGCAATGTGTCATGTAGATGACGAACACTTCCTG